ATATATCATATTGTATAAAGTAACATTTTTGTTCCTTCCCCCACTGGGTATCACAAGTTCTAAATAGTTATTTCTACTCTGAAGGCAGTCTTAACAGTTTGCTTTCTCTAACACGTGGCAAATAAAGCACACCAAAGGGAAATCTGTGATGGGTTGTTCTCTTTTTTAAAATCTTGCAAACAGCAACTTCTTTGAGTTTATTAATGTAAATGTTTATAACAAGTGAAACTTGAAATCTTGCATGTTGAGGTTAGGAGTACAGTGATTTTCCTCTCGAAGAAAGCGTCAGGGGGGATGTAGGGAGGGACAGGGTGTAAACATAGCCCTTATCTAGAAAACACAGACACCTATTATTGAGGGATTCTTCAACAGTTAGCAAAGGGATTCCTTGTGATTTCTCGCATCTTAATCTTATTTCTAAGTTGTTTACATTTTAGCAGAGCCCACAGGGAGAATATTTGACAAAAATAACACGAATCTCAGGAACTAGTCGAAGTCAGAGTTATGCTAAGTATCTGCTGTGTAATTTTTGGTAATTCACTCAACCACTTTAATTCTAAGTTTTCTTATCCAAAAAAGAAAAAAAAATGTGGGGAGGAGGGCTGGCCATAGAACTGACACTCTCACAATATGGGTATGGAATGAATTACACTGAATATATAAAATACAATCTGCTTTGTCAGTAAAGAGAACTTTAATGTTATCACTATTAACACTACATTGTAATTATATTATCAGTATTATAATTACTCAAGCTTTAATTCCTTAAAAGGAAGCACTTGCTGGTTTTTTTACTATTTTGTCTTCACCTGAGATGACAATGTTGCTCCTCTATTCCTAAGGGCAGAAGGAAATCACAGGACTGCCACCAAAAAGACCTTGTTCTGAAGTCAGAATGTTTTTCCTTGAAGGCTAATTCACTGCATAGCACTAAAAGTTTATATTTCTTATGTTCCTTTCTTACATATGGGGCTTTCCTTAAAAGAAGGATCCAATGGGTGGGCTTAGAATAAGAAAATTTACAACAAAATAAAGCTCTAACTCATAGCTAATGCATGTAGAATGCTTTAGAATTTGAAAAATATTTCTCCCTTCTTCTTCATATCAACTAGATTTCCAGTAAGCTGGAAACCTGCAGCACACAGAGAGTCTCATGAAAGACCACTAAGTCTGCCAGCATCTCCATCCCTATCGAGGGCAATACCTTCAGTCACAGAGAGCTTGGTTGATCCCTCAGGATGTGCAATGATTCCTTTTTTCCCCTGGTAGCCCAGAGCCAGTTGCCCCTTTTATTTTTGTCAACAACGCTTCCTTTTTGTTTCTCTCCCTCTAACTAGGAAGTGCATCACTGACAGTGACACAATACACCTCTTCATAAGGAAGGCAAATGAGTATGTGCCAGATGGGCTGAGGGGATTACAACATGTTTCCTGCTCCCATGGTGACTCAATGGAACTGGTATGAGAACTTATCTTATTCAAGAAGTCAGCTTCCCTTGGCAAAATTATGAGTCACAGTTCCTGGGTAGAAAGCTCACTTACCAACAGTATTGAGGGAGGCACAGAGTGAGGGTTCCTTGGTTGGATTACAGTGAAGATCATTCAGAAAGGCAATGTAGCCAAGACCACTAGGGAGATTCCAGCACCCAGTTTCTTCTGACACATCCATGTTCTCTCAATACAAGCAGAACAGTTACCTCTCCCTTTTTCTTCAAGGTGAGGCAAGATATACAATCACACTGATGAATAAGGATTTAAGCACTTTCGCTAGAAAACTGGCCAGATTTGGGGAGGAAAGAAGATGTGAAGGAACTGTTAGACCTAGTATGAGCACCTAGTATGTGTCCATGTGTCAACCATTATTACAAGTGTTTGGATACCAACCAAATGGACAAAGTTCTGCCCGTACCTTAATGTCACAGAGAAAGGGAGGTAAAGAGAAAGGTAAAGAGAGGGGCTGGCGCTGTAGCACAGTGGGTTAACACCCTGGCCTGATGCACTGGCATCCCATATGGGCGCCAGTTCGAGTCCCGGCTGCTCCACTTCCATTCCAGCTCTCTTCTGTGGCCTGGGAGGGCAGTGGAGAATGGCCCAAGTGCTTGGGCCCCTGCACCCACGTGAGAGACCCAGAGGAAGCTCCTGGATCCTGGCTTCGGATCAGTGCAGCTCCAGCCGTTGTAGCCATTTAGGGAGTGAACCATCAGATGGAAGACCCCCCCCCCCCCGTGTAGCTCTGACTCTCAAATAAATAATAATAATAAAAAAAAAAAAACAGAGAAAGAAAGGTAAAGAGAGTGGGAAAAAAGAAGGAAGGAAGAGTGAGAGGGAAAGGGTTGGAAGAGACAAAAGGAGAAAAAGGAGAAAGGAGAAGAGAGAAAGACAAGAAAGAAAGAGGGTTACTCTAATGTCAGGAAACTCTAAGTGTTACAAAGAAAACTAAATCAGAAGAGTTATCTTAGTTAAGATGGCCAAGGAAGGGCCCTGTGAGCAGATAAGAAAAAATTATAATCAATATTTAAATATTTTAATAGTTAAGAAAATCAAGATATTTAAAATCAGGACATCAAGTCACTCACCAAGCAAATGGAACAGTCAGTCAAGCAGGGCTACTTCTGGTCTAAAAATCCATCAGGCTGTAGATCAATGTATCCCAATAGAATATCAGTCCTGGTTATGATACAACTTTTCCTCTGTGAAGCCCCAAAGGAGCAGTAAGTTTAGAAGTTATCTCTACTTCCAGCACTGAGCTCAACTCTGTCCCAGTTATACTTCTCCTTAGGTGCTATTTTTGGTTTCTAATACAATGCTTTCAGTGGCATAGAAAAACTGAAACACACCCAGAAAAGATGATCAAGATGCTAGGAGGGCTCAAATCCATGCCATGTGGAGGATACTTGCAGGTGTATATTATATTGCAGAACAGCAGGGTCATGGACTTATGATCATTCACTTAACCTTTCGGCAGGTCCCTCACATAGAAAAGAAACTAAAGCAATAATATTGAGAGGATTGTCCATGGTGCTCAGGAGAATAATGCTTTTTAAAATGAAGATCCCTAAATCCCCTGCATTAAAATTAGAGAACCTTTACATGAGCTATTTTCTGTTTCAATCAAACAACTGAAACAAATAAACACATGGAAATAAAGAGACACGTATCTGTTTTATGTACTAAAATATTTTTCTAAGAATTTGATCAGGTCAAATACATAAAGATTCAATTAGATGATCACCAGTCAGAAATAAGTTCCTCTAAGCAGTAAATTACAGATGCAAAGAGACCTAAAAGATGTACTTTCTAACATCAAATCCCTTCCAGCTCTGATTTCAAATGAGTCAAGTCCAAGATGAATGAGTTTGGTCTTTCAAACTCAATGAAGGTGTTAGGTGGCTCCTCTCATGACACAACATCCAAAGAAAGAAAGAGCCTAAAGACAGTGTCTTTTCTTTCATGTATACTTTTTGATTCATTTTCAATTCTCTTTATATACAGAAGATCAGTTTAGTATATATTAAGTAAAGATTTCAACAGTTTGCACCCACACAGAAACACAAAGTGAAAAATACTGTTTGAGTACTAGTTATAGCATTAAATCACAATGTACAGCACATTAAGGACAGAGATCCTACATGAGGAGTAAGTGCACAGTGACTCCTGTTGTTGATTTAACAAATTGACACTCTTCTTTATGGCGTCAGTTATCTCCCTAGGCTCTTGTCTTGAGTTGCCAAGGCTGTGGAAGCCTTTTGAGTTCACCGACTTCAATCTTATTCCGACAGGGTCATAGTCAAAGTGGAAGTTCTCTCCTCCCTTCAAAGAAAGGTACCTCCTTCTTTGATGACCTGTTCTTTCCACTGGGATCTCACTCGCGGAGATCTTTCATTTAGGCATTTACGTGTGGGGATATTTTTCATGATTTTATGTTTGATTCGTGGTCGCCAGAGTGTCTTGCCTGAAATACTCTCATGGGCTCTTCAGCCAGATCTGAATGCCTTAAGGGCTGATTCTGAGGCCAGAGTGCTGTTTAGGACATCTGCCATTCTACGAGTCTCTGTGTATCCCGCTTCCCATGTTGGATCGTTCTCTCCCTTTTTTATTCTATCGGTTAGAATTGCAGACACTAGTCTTGTTTGTGTGATCCCTTTGACTCTTAGTCCTTTCATTATGATCAATTGTGAACAGAAACTGATCACTGGGACTAGTGAGATGGCATTGGTACATGCCACCTTCATGGGATTGAATTGGAATCCCCTGGTATGTTTCTAACTCTACCATTTGGGGCAAGTCCAATTGAGCATGTCCCAAATTGTACATCTCTTCCCTCTCTTATTCCCACTCTTATATTTAACAGGGATCACTTTTCAGTTAAGTTTCAACACTTAAGAATAATTGTGTATTAATTACAGAATTCAACCAATAGTATTAAGTAGAACAAACAGAAAAAAAACACTAAAAGGGATAAAGTATTAAGTTGTTCATCAACAGTTAGGGCAAGGGCTGATCAAGTCACCATTTCTCATAGTGTCCATTTCACTTCAACAGGTTTTCTTTTAGGTGCTCGGTTAGTTGTCACCAATCTTTCATGTATATAAGCAGTATGACAGAAAATGTTATTTTTAAAAAATATCTCAATAGGCTGCAACTATTTTCTCCATAACTGGCTCAAGTCTGCAAAACAGATCCTGTTAACATCACTGCCATTTCTTCTCACATAGGATCTGAGGAAAGGGATTGAAATGGTACTCTATATGCCAATTTGGTAAATGCCATGTATTATACACACCAGACCACAGCTTCAGGACTCTACGCTGTGAGGACTAGAGATGTATCAATGCCTCTACCATCACCAAGATTTTATACCATTAGACATCTAATTCTGTGCTAGAATAGAAGAAAATGTAAATAAACAATATTATGTTCTCATAAATTCATTCTCAGAGGGAATACATTCCCTTATACACGACTTGCATTTTAATTGGTTGTCAGAAGCCATTCACTTACCTGAGGCATCACTTTGCGGGATCCCATAGAAGTAGAGACTCATTACACACCACAGAAGTCTCATCCTGTTAACATAAACATAAGGGTAAGGGAGAGTACATAAAACTGTTAAGTACATAAATGATAATAACTAGTGTACATGCGTTATGACCATAGACTAGGGATAGTTCTAAGAGTTTTACAATATAAAGTATAATTGTCAGGAACAACCAACATGATAGCCTTTGTTCTTCTTTGTTATTTTCTTTTTAATCCCCATAGTACATAAGATAAGGGAACTCAGACAAATTTAAATAATATAATCAAAGTATTTGGCTAAAACTAGCAGAGCCATGATGAAACTCCAGGTACCTGCTCACTTAAGAAGGATTCATCTGACGGTTTTGAACAGGAGTCACATTTCTGGTAGATAAACTTAACCTTGTTACCCTTCTTCATAAGTGTTTGGTCTATTCCAAGTTGTGACCATTTCACGATCCAGGTAATTTTCCTTCTCAGAGATGAATAGTAAGTTTAGAAATACTTGATTCAGACAATCTGAATTCATACTGAGGGAAAAGAAAGAAAGCTCATGCCCTGTTGTTCCCACTCTCCTCATCTCACTAGAAGAGACAAAGGAAACAGGGGTGCAATTTCTGGGATATTTAGTCTTCCTGTTAATAACAGTTGAAACTGCCAACTACTATGAACCACTCCTTTACATTTGTTTGAATGACCTTTAAGGCAGAAATCCTACAGATTCAACAACTCTGTTAAGTACTTTTTTGTACTATCCTACACATATATGGCCAGTGATAAACTCTTTATAGGATAGTAAATGAAATCTGGAGATAACTGGGAAGCTTGATGCTCAACACCTCTGCTTTCTGTTTTAAACCCAGTGGCCATAGAAGGATGCTTACAGGGGTTACAGTATATAAGGATGTTTGTAGAGGTTAAAGTAACAGTCCAGACCCTATTTCTGGTGGGATTTATACCCATATCAGGCTAACTTAAAGCCTATTATCCCAAATAGTCTATGCCACAAATTTCATAACCACAGACCCACCAGCCTAAAAAAACCAAAAAGGTATTTGATAAATATTGCACCCATATAATATCATCTAAAAAGAGCTACCCTAAGGGTGCTGTATAAAATCAAAAAGTGTAAAGGATTGCTGCCCAAACAACCCAGTCTGTGCAGTCATCCTAAAGGGAAATGCAAGTTTTCAAATCTGTTACCTCACTTTTTCACTATTACTCTTTTTACCTGTTTTCACAGATAGTTAAAAATTGTACATATTTAAAAGGTACCATATAATGTTTTAAAACATGGATATATGTGTAATGTCCAATTAGGATAAATAAACCTATCCCCTCAAACATTTATCATTTATATGTCATCTTCCTTGACCACATATCAGCAAAAGTCTCTGGCTCATGTCATACTTCCTGCTTCAGCTTCACAAATCACAGGTGAGTGTATCAGATCACAAGCAAGCGCCATGTGTCACAGATTAAATGTCTCTGTTCCAACCACCACCCCTTTCTCATTCTTATGCATTATCATAGAGAAATCCTCTCTCTGTCATTTATGTATTCAAGAAGGCATGTATTGAACATTTTCTGTTTACAAGTTACAAGGATATAACTGCAGGGGCCTCTGTTAAGCAAGATGTAAGGCCTTCTCTAAAAGCACTTCTCTGCAGTAGAGATTAAACCCCACGCACACCTCTTTAATATCATCAACTATGTATAAAATACACTCATGCAGAGGTACTTAGGAGATGTGAATGTTTATCAGACAGCAATTCTGGCATTCTGGCACTAGGCAAAGTCTAGCAGGGACTTAAATGTGTATTGAAAAAATAACTGCAATACAAAGCAAAAGTGATAAAAATAGAGAGTAACAGATAACTGTTATTGAAGATTAGCAAAGGGAAGAGCTTACTCCAGGCAAGACAGTCGAAGAAGACTAAACACAAATGGTGGCTCTCTAACTGAGTAATAACTGATCTGGATATTTAGAATTGAGATGGGGAAAAAGAAACCCTTAGTGGAAAACAATGCTCAAAAGTCATGAAAGTGAGGAAAACACAAATAGGAAACAGATTATAAATAATTCAGTTTGGCTCAAGCACGGAGTATTAGAAGAAGAACTGAAGATTTTGTTGGAAAGCAGAGACTGTTAGGCTCAGAATATGGCAAGGGCTTGAATAACAACCCAAGGATTTAGGGTTTAACTTAAATAGCAAATAGTGAATCACTGAAGTGTTCTTATTCAAGGAATGATATAATCATCGTTATGCCTTTTTGAGGTCACTCTGCCAGACACATAATAGATGGACTGCCACTAAATTCTGTCTTGAAATCATTTTGGCTCCTAAGACTGTCATCACAATTATTGCTATCCTCCTACCTTTGTGTCATATACAAAATTCATCAGCATGCCACCTATGCCTTCTTTCAAGTCATTAATAAAACTAATTAATAATTCTGCATTAATCCTTGTCAGTGAGTGCAGCAAGATAATTCATTGCAATTCAAGACAAAGAAATTTCAGCCTCAGTACTCCACTACGCTAAAACACTCTGGCCTCCCAAATTGATTTGGCTATTAAAAAACACATGCACACACGTTTCTCTAGATTTTCCCAATTTGCCTGTTTATAAGCTGCAAAAGTCCTAAGGCAACACTTAGAAGACATTCTAATTAGTGTGATTGAGGACTTTAATTAATATTCCCAAAAGTAACTGGATTATGCCAGAGGCAGCCAAGAGTCAGGTCACCAAGGTAAAGCTAATCTAAGGATAACCTATGTACAAACACAGATCCAGTGGCCGTCTTGCACTATGATAGATTAGAATAAAACCCACTGAAAAGAAAATGCGATTGTGCCAGCTTGTTTTCACAGACTAAAGGGACAAGTTTAGGAGGAGGTGATTAGCTGGTCTGAAAACTCTCCAAGAATGCTAGATCATATAACATTTTCTTGCACCCAGACATAGAATTGTATTGTTGTAAATAGCGATACAATTTGAGTTCCTTTTTCTTTGCATAAGTGAGTGCTGGGCCAGAGATGGAGAAACAGCCAGAAAGCAAAGGAACATTCCTATTAATGATGGTTCTTCATTGTTTGAATTACCGCTTAGGTGATGGTGTCTAACAGACACTGTACTTGTGTCAGATGACTGGAAGCTACATATGATGAATTTCCTGTCAGACTTTCCTGCATTACCCTTTTTATTTATTGTATGATCATTCTCATATCCTCCCCCACCACATACTGGTATTTCTCTTATGCTTAACATCACTGTTTCCGGGTACATCAACTTGGATGCCAATATCATCTAGCAAAAAGTATTAAATATGTACTGATTTCTATATAATCAACAGCAATGTTAAGGGCAATTGTTAACATGTAGCAGCACACTAATATCAATCTCTGAGTATGAGACTTTCTATTGTCTGCATTCCCCACACTTGATAAGCTCTTGTATCTCCTTATCTTTGAGTTACCCTGACCCCAGGGACTCTCTCAGGAGACCAGCAGGTGACAGACTGAAATTGAGTTTGCGGCCCAAATACTGAGTCACCTGTTGCTCAGCCTCGTTCATGGCAGCATTTCAGCAGCCACACAACTTTCTCCCTCAGTTTCCTGATTCCATAATTGTCGCTCCCCCTCTTCGTGGAGGAGCAACACAGGACCCTGCGCTGTTCTTTCATCTGCTCGGCCCTCCCCGGGTTTGCTGCTGGTTCTTCCCGGGTTGGCTACTGTCCCTTCCACCTCCGTGGAAGGGCGGTTCCCCCTGGCCACTTTCCCCACTTCCGCAGGGGAGCAGCACACCACCGGCCGGCTCTCTCGGGGGCTGCACAGGTGTTCCTTCAGATAGATGTTCCCCTTAGATGTTCCTGGTGCATGTTGTCTCTCCTCCTTTATAGTCCTCTTCCACCAATCCCAACTCTGCTACCCACACGCCGAGTACGCTGCTCTCCTCCAATCAGGAGCAGGTCCTACAGTTTATTGGTTGAACTGGAGGCAGCTGTGTAGAAGCTGTTTCTCCCTTCTCAGCGCCATATTGTGGGAGAGCAGATGCATAGAATAAGTCTTAATTCCAGGAACAGTCTAGTCCGAGTTGCTCCCCACACATAATGAGCACCACACTCAAATAACAGCCACTCCTTCAAGTTCACCAACCAGGCTGGTACTTGTTCCTGATAAAGTCTTGTTCTAGGCTGGATAAACTTCATACAATAATTAAGTTGCTATCACCTACTCCATTTCTGCCACAGTCAACCAATGTCCTTAGCTATGCCCTGTCCACTGGAAAGCAGGCTGTTCACACAGTGGCACAAACTCCAACTGACCATATCCATGGGGGTACAGCCTGCTGCCAATCACTTCCTAGAGTCCCAATCTCACCCAGATTCTTCTCTTTCCAATCTGCAAAAAGCATAAAGTGTCAGTTGATCTTGCCTTGGTGTGTACCAGAGATATAATAAACAAGCCTTTAAAGTGCATAGCACAAGCTATTATTAACCATACCATTCTACAAATTTTACCACTTTACAATATTTACTTAAAAATCAGGGTTATTTTCATCATCATTTTTTTTTTAATTTTTTTTTTTTTTGACAGGCAGAGTGGACAGTGAGAGAGAGAGACAGAGAGAAAGGTCTTCCTTTGCCTTTGGTTCACCCTCCAATGGCCGCCGTGGCCGGTGCGCTGCGGCCGGCGCACCGTGCTGATCCGATGGCAGGAGCCAGGAGCCAGGTGCTTTTCCTGGTCTCCCATGGGGTGCAGGGCCCAAGCACTTGGGCCATCCTCCACTGCACTCCCTGGCCACAGCAGAGGGCTGGCCTGGAAGAGGGGCAACCGGGACAGAATCCGGCGCCCCATCATCATCATTCTTAATCTTTATTTTTTTGAATCATAAGAAGATCCTTATGCAGATGACTTCATAATCTAATATTGATCAAAATGTTGGCAAAATGACACAGAAGATTCCAATTCCGGGTAAAATGAAGTACGCACACTACTCTGTATTTCCTAATGAATGAAGCTATAAAACATGGACATAATGTA